GGATATTATTATGTGTGATAGTATAAACAAATTTTTTTATAGAAAATGAGATAATATAGTAGCCAATCTTCATTCTCTGCTATTTGGATCTGAAAGCCCTGTAATGCTTTGATTCTCTTGAATGGTTTTATACTTTTTTGTTATGCTTGATACTATCGTACATGAAGCTATGCTCAATTATTTCAAAGAAAGAGACCCTATGGTAGTTACTGTTAATTATGGGTTGCCTTGTGGTAAAATACTGTGTTACTTGCATTGTTCTGACCTGATCTGCTTTGTTATGTCCTCTTTTGTCTTAATCTCTTTAAAATAAAAAATTTTTTTTGAAAAATCAGACTTGATCCTGGTTTTTCCATGTTCCACATATGTGACACTGGTGCTATGGTTTGATTGCTTTCCTAAGGCCCATGTATTGAAGTCTTGATCACCAGGCAGTAGTGCTATTGAGAAGTGTTGGGTCATTTGGGAGATGGGGGCCAATCAATGACAATTAAGTCACTGGGAGTGTGACCTTGCACAGGATGTTGAAACCATAGCCCTTTCCTAGTTCTCTTTTACTTCACCAAGGGTTAAGGCCTTCTTCTTCCAAGTGCTCCCACCATAATGTAATACCTCACCATGGCCCCTAACCAACAGACCAATTCAACATGGACTAAAACTTCCAAACTGTGAGCCAAAATAAGCCTTTCTGTCTTTTAAACTCATTACCTCAGGAACTTTCTCAAGGTGACGGAGAGATGGCTACCACACTTGGAGATATTGTTTAACTTCTGTGAGACACTGTTTCACATCCAAAACATGGAAATAACCTTTAATCATAAGGTTGCTGAAGTGATTAACCAATGCATGCCAAATGCCAAGATTAGATTCTGGCATGTAGTCTTACTATTTTCTGCATATAACATTAACTTGATTTATCTTTTTGCTTTCTTACTCATCTTAAGAACTCACTGTATTTCATATCCTCCCTACCTTTCAATGAAAAGCAGCCAAGCATACGTCATCAGCAAGCTCCTTGCTGAATCCTGTCCCTCTTTTCTGATCTCACACAGTTTTTTATTCCATCTATCACTTATTAAGACTGTGGTGGACCTCTGCTGTGGGACATATACAGGTCAGCAAAAGGTACACGATGATGAATATATATATAGGCTCTACTGTTGTGGAACTCTTAAGCTTGTGCTAGAGACATTGATATCAATCAGCAAGCACAGATGTGCTTAGCAACAAATTGTACTGTGAAAGAAAAGAACAGAATCCCCTACAAGGGAATGACAGATAAGGGAGCCAGGGAAGGTCTGAGACCTCAGGAAGAGTTTTATATAGAAAGGGTCATTTCTAACAATGGAATGGCAACATTCCTAGACTGTTTTTCTTAGTCATGAGACATGGTATATGTCAATAGTCCCAGAACTCTGGGAAGTTGAGGCAGGAGGATCAAGGTTTGAGCTCAGCCTCTTCTATTTACTGAGACACTGTCTGAAAGGTTAAAAGAGGATGTAAAGAGTTTAGTGCAGATTCTTGGTTCAAGGACCCCGTACTGAAAGAAAAGGGAAGGAAGGAAGGAAGAAAGAAAGAAAGAAAGAAAGAGAGAGAGAGAGAGAGAGAGAGAGAGAGAGAGAGAGAGAGAAAGAAAGAAAGAAAGAAAGAAAGAAAGAAAGAAAAGAAAGAGAAAATGGGAAGACTCTAAGGTAGAAAATAGCTTGTCATACTGGAAGAAATGAAAGAATATCCATTTGGCTAGACAAGTGGCAGTTTTGAAGGATGGTATGAAATGAACCAGAAGAAAAGACTGAGCTAGCTAGGCAAAGCCCTTATAACTATGGAGAAGTTTTATATTTTATTCCAAGGACCACTGGAGAACACTGGACCACAGGATTATACCATGCTTGTGGCTCTATTTTGGGTCATGAATTTGAAGTGGGTAGGAAGGAAATCAAGACATTATTTAGTATGTGGTGTTTGAATCTGGCTGCTAGAAGTTAGGTGAGAAAAGGTGGGAAGATCCTCTACAGAGAACTGGGAGAATCTGGAGATGACTTGGACATAGAAAGCAAAGAAAAAGTGCCAGGTGTAGTGACTCCTAAAATTCAGGTGTGAGCAATGAACTGGATAATAGAGCCATTTACCAAAAAGACAAACTAAATCACTAAGTAGAGAAAGGACCAGCATCTTCATAGTTTTAGAAATCTCCCAGGAAGTTCTGATGGTTAATCATGGCTGAAAACAACAATCTAGGAAAGTTTTACATAAGTGTATATATATATATATATCATATATATAAATGTAATTTAATGGTCACTGTATATATATTTCTGTAGGTAGATTACCTTAATTAAATCTAGTCAATTATTGGTTATATCATTGGGCATGAGTATGCTTATTTGTAAGATGACAATAACAATAGATATTAATCTTACAAAACATTTGGAACACTTGCAACTTCTTTTATAAATCAGTTGGTTCAATAAACTAGATGTTTTCTCATCTCTAAGCTTTAACACTTGCACTGCCTTTTGCTTGATATATTTATCTCCTCCGCATTCATGTAGTGGTTTCCTATTTTCTTTCCAGAGGTAGCTTTCCTCCAATGATTTCCCTACCTACCACTAGCTCCCACCAATCATCTGGGCCATTTCTCTTGCTTAAGTGGACTCAGAGTTCTCCATGGATGCTTCCACTGCAAAACACGTTGTGTTATAGTTACCTGTTTATTGGATTGTCTCCTGATGGCCTTGTTTTGTAAGTTTATAATTATGGACTTGACATTGATATCATAATGAGACTAGAATAAATCTGTTGGATTTAATCTAATATAACTAAATTTAAAAGCATAGTACTCTCAGCGAGCTCATCTCACAATCTACATCTCTTGCATAAATGAAGTTAGATAGGGGATGAAGATACAGCAAGTAATACCCAAACCAATATATTTTAAAAATTGCCTAAATGGCTAATTGGGCCCAACCTTAAGCCTAAGCTAGTCATGCCAAATATAACACCTTTCTTATCTGCCTTTCACCTCTGCTTTGTTCTTCCTGAGCAATGTGGGGCCCTTCTCTTTCTGAGGAACAGAGGGAGGGTGAAGGCAGTTGGGGAGGAAGAAATACTCCCACAGCTTTACAAAACCCTCCTTCAACTCCTTGGTGAGGTAAGGAAGATAGAGATAGTGACATGGTTTGAGTCGTTCTTAACTACGTAGCCTTTCTACCAGTCCAGACACCAGCAAGCAGGTACTAGGAAGACTACATTCAAGGTAATCCTTCTCTGCCACAAATTTTATAAAAAGATCCAAGGCCTTTTAGGCCTTTATATGGAGGTAGAGTTTGATCTCTTCAACACTGTTTCTGGAACCATCAACCTCCAGAACAGAGCACGGCACAAAATAACAATGAAGAGTTTGTATTCTGCTCTTTAATCTCAAGGGAGATCAATTTTGCCAGAGATCATTTGATTTTCTCAAATGTCAATATGTTAAAATATACATTAGGACATTTCAATATGCTAAAATCTTGAGGAAAAAAGGCCAAAAATTATTTGTCACTGGAGTAAAAGGAGAAATAAATCTTTCTGACCTCAGCAAGAGATGAATCTAAGAATTTAGAATTATTAGTAAAACTTCCATGTAAAAATTTCAGATAGACATGCAGAGAAATGTAAGGGTGTAGTTATGTATATATTTCTTATTGGAGAATGAAATCTGGGCAGGGTGGATGGAATAAGCGATGTTTACAGCTTAAGAAATGCCTTACTCCACACCATGAAGAGCTAACCTTGCTTTCTTTGTATCAGCTCTCTATTTCCTTAAAAAGAAGTTGATAGTGTTGTGGAAAACTCACCTCCTGAAGACAGCAAAAACAGAACCCAAGATGAGTAAACTGGCGTTATGTAAAAGTGAGAAGTAACTGCAGTTTTTGCCCACACCCCCAAGAAAGCAAGGTGAAAGAATGCTTCAAAAGAATCAGATTTGAATAATAGAAAATAGCATGGTATTCCCCACGGTACACGTTCAGTCATGGGAAGGAGGAGTAATTAATGTAATTGCCAATACTAGACAATTACCACTAAAACAATTTCTACAAAGCCCTTCCTGAGACCATCCTTCTAAACAACACATATCCCCTTACTGATCATGTTTTCTCACATTGATCAGCCTCAGCGATCAACACAGCTGATAGTGCAAGTATCTGTTCCTCTCAAACTTGGCATATATATATATATATATATATATATATATATATATGTAGATGTACATGTACGTGTGTGTGTGTGTGCATGTGTATCTCCTTAGTTTTTCCCAGTATACTTGCAAGCGTTTTATAATATAGAAATATTGGAGCATATTTGTCTGTAATTTTTCCAATATGTCTTATGTAGCATATAAAACTAAAAGACAATAAGACAATTGTGATACCCAAATTTTTTTCAGTGTTGGCCATATATTTAGCATTGTTTCAAGAGCTTTACACTTATTAGCTGATTTATCATTAAAACTGTTACGTGAGATAGATGCTACTCTTCTTCCCAATTTAAACTTAAAGAAACTGAGGCAGAAGGAGGTTCATTATCTTTACCACAGTTGCTCAGCTAATGTTTGCTCTCGGGCAAAGCTCTGACACTAGAGCTTTGGTCCAATGTAGCATTTAATGTATTTTTAATTGTATTCAAATTCTAAAATGATAACAGACATAAATTAGAGGGTTTAGCTAGAAACTATGATAAGATTTAGGGTCAAGTAAAGTGTGGCCCTTAAGAAAACTAAGAAATCATTTTCCCAAAGGCTCTGGATTTGTGACCCACAGAAACAGTTTTAACATCTACACAAGGAAAACATGACTTTTGGATCTTTGGATGGAATCTTCTGCAATGCCTCTGTTTCAATGGGTTGTTACAGGATTTGAAGACAAATGTGAGTAGTCATCATGATAGTAACCAGAAAAAAACATCCTAAACACAACATCACCTCCTTACTGAAATTATAAATTTCTGTCACTTTCTAGTTAATTACTGACTGTGGTGGAAAGAAAGGAGCAGAGTCACATTTGGTGGCTTCAGTAGCATTCAGAGTGCAGAAAGGAGCACCATCAAGTCTTGCACCACCCTTGGACACCAAGTTCCCCTGTCAACTACCATGGTAAGTACCTTCCTTTTGATCCTTTAAAGCCAGCAGAGTGCATCCAACTTGTAAGTAGAGCTCAACTGTGACTACCACAGCTACTGTCCCATTTTGTTCTAGTTTTCAGCTCTGTGTTTCTGTGATCTAATCATGCTTCAACTTCAGTTTCTTTCAGTTAGAAAGCCTTTGATAATTTTGTTTTGACATCTCCACTCCTGATTTCAGAGATTCCAAATCTAACGTTATAGTTCTATCTCTGTGACTAATTGGCCCAGATGACCATCAGCTCAAGTTCTCATAGAACAATATTTGACAACAAACAATATCACATTAGAATACAAATTCTATACCCTCACTCCCATTACTTTTACCACACCAGAAACATGATATGCATAGGGCTTATTCTGTGGATCAATGGTAGTAGGGAGATTTTTATCCAGCTGAAGTCCTACTATTTAGGCATATGATAAAATAAGAAAAATAAACTTATCAGACCATTGTTCAACAGTTTACAAAGACGCGTACAATCCTGTTGACTCTAGTGCACGTGCCTCTTTGCAATGCGACTTTGCCACTTCTCACAGGAAGATGCAGAGTTTATCTCCTCTGGTCTCTGACTTGCCTCCACCAGTAGAACACAGCAGGCGGGACATCGCATGACCTCAAACCTCAAGTGCGAAAGATTTTTCAACTTCTTTTCTTAGGCTTTTGCTCCCACAAGAATACCACTTCTATAAAGAAGCTTGGGCCAGGCAACAAGCCACTCAGCCTACAGGAAGAATCAATTTTCAGACATGGGAGTGAGGCTACTCAGCCTCAGGAGAGCTGCTAGGTAGCTGTAGCCAGATGAGTGATCTTACAAAGACCAGGAGAAAAATTTCACACTCACTGCAGACCAAATTTCACACTCAGTCCAAGCTAGCAATTCATGAGCAGAAAAATTATAATTAAAAAGAAACAGGTTGTGATAAGGTTTGTTATGAAGAAATAACTAACAGATAAAAACTCTAAATGCTAACTGAGGTACATGTGAGTCAGTTTTCTGTTGCTCTAACAATTAGCAGAGATAATCAATTTAAAAATGAAGGTTCACTCGGGCTCACACTTTTGGAGGCTGTAGTCCATAATCAGTTAGCCCTGCTCTGCGAGCCTGCAGTGAGGCAGCACACCATGGAAGGAATATACAAAGGAGCCAGATCACTCACCTCAGGAATGAGAAGGACATGGAAAAGAGAGAAAAGAAAGGGCTGAGTTCCACTATCCCCGTGAAGATCATGCCTTCTAAATCCTAAAGACCTCATGCAGAAGCTCCAATTATTAGAAGTTCTTAAAGCCAAGCTGGGAACCATGTCAATAGCACAGAGGTCTTTGGGGGACACTTGAAAGAATAATAAAATCCAAAATGCACAAGAAATAGTGTAAAAATGAAAGGGAAAGAAAGTGCTCAAAAGGAAAGAAAAACTGGGATGGGGAAAGGAGAAAAGGAAGAAAAGAGAAAAGATTATATGTATATAGGTACACACATATTTATGTGTATATACATATATATATATATATATAATCTCTTAAATTCATTTAAAAAAAGCATGTGCTTTCATTGTTTGATCATTTTTTATTCCTAAATCCTGTAACCTGAACAACTACTTCTAAGATAACAATATGCCACATATTAACTGGTTTCAATTTCCTACTATTTTTTGAAATGCTGTATCATTTCTTTTTTGTTTTTAAAATTAAAAAAATCCAAACAATAACAACACACGAAAAGCAATACCTCTTATCATGATAGTGTGACACAAACATTATTACCATGATACAAACATACGATTTTCTTAACAGTCATAATTTAAGAGGTATGTGTCTAACTGCCCTTCTAATACCACTGTTTCTACCTCTATTATTGCTACTATAGCTCACATGTGCAAATGGGGGCACACACACTTTGGTACCCTGCCTATTTGCTCATATGTTCTTTGTGGTTTTTCTTTTCTCAGCGTCCGTGTTGCCATATTTCCAGCTCAGTACACTTAACGAGGGTCCTTCCCTATATCCACCTCTATTCTATGAGGAACAGCGATCACTTACTGTGCACCAGGAACTGTTCAGGCAGATAACCATTATTCTGCACAGTTTATACATGACATGACAGAGGTGTAATAGATTAATCCTGCTCAAAGTCTCTGAGCTAACAATAGATGCAGACAGACTGTAAATCCAGTCAAATTCAAGTCTTGCCCTTAAAAGGGTCACCATACTTACTGCACTACATTCTCTGGGTGACCCCTAGGCACCCCAGCATTTACACATTTAAATCAAAGCTTATCTCACATATCTGCATATTTCCTACTTTGATTAATGATTGCCACTTATTTAGCCAAGTTGGAAATCTCGCTGTCTTCCTTATTCCCCAACATTATAAGGAATGCAGGCTTCACTCTGTCTCACTGTCATTGCTTTACAAGAGAACACCATCATCTTTAACTTAAACAAATGTATAAGCTTGTTGCTGGTCTCCAAATTTATGGTTGAATGAGTCACTTTTTCTTTTTTCTGTTCTTTTTTCTTTCCAGTTCATTTCCACCTCACCACCAAAAATGATATACATTATCAACAGGGTCAGAAGTTTCAGAGGTACAAGACAGTGACTAGATGTGATTGTGAGTGCTCCTGTATGTATGTGTGTGCTTGTAGTAAATGAGTGTTGCTTGAGGGTAAAGTGACCAATTCCTTCTACTTTGTCCCAGACTTTCTCTGCTTTAAAACTAAAAATCTTATATCTCAAGGAGGCCTTCACTTCCAGGAAAATTGGAATGATGTCACTGGTCTTTAAAGAAATGTTTAACTAAGTAATTGAGTGTGTAAGGGAGGGAATGCTAATGCTATTGCATTAGCATATTGGAATTAGGACTTTCCTAACTCATAGCCTTTGTTTTCCCAGAGAGTTAAACACTCCTTAATTTTATATACCTTCATTTAAGCCACCTTTCTCCTGTATTTTGCAACAAAATGGTTCCTTCTTAAAATAATTTCTTCACTTGTTTTCAGCCATCACACTCCCTTGATTTCCCTCTAACTTCGATTTCTCAATATCTTTTGATTAGTTTTCTTCTATGTCTCTTATTGTAGAATACCCCAAGTTTCTGTTTGACCATATTTTCTCTAGTGTTGGCTACTGGACAACTGACTTCACCTACTCAGTTCTTAAGTGCCAAATCAATTATAGTGTAGGGATAGAAGAGAAGAAAAAGTATCCTTATTGTTTATTTTTTAAAATATTTATAATGGAAAGTGCTAGTGCTTTCCCATTCAAAGGGAGAAATATTTGGACAGCCACAATCCTTTTCCAGTACAAACTAGATGATAAAAATTCACAACAGGAAGAATCAGAATTTGCATATGCTATGAAGGCAGATTTCTCAGAATACACAAAATATAAACTATAATTGCTCTTAAAGTGACAAAGCAAATATGTTGGTTTCCCTCCCCAGGGACAAATGACAAAAGAAACTAAGAGTTCAGGATTGTAACACTAACAATATCTCCTGCTGGAACATAAAGACTGAGGAATATGTGTCCCCCTATAGCAAATATCATTTTATGCTACTGGCTTTGCTTTATACCTCCTGTCCCCACATCTCTCTGAGCTTCAGATTGCACATCTACCTGCCTACCCAGCCACCTGAAAGACCCTTTCCGTCGATTTGTATTACTCTGCTGGGCTACTACTGTAAAATAAGTCTGGGAAGCCTAAACAACAGAAATTTATTCTTTGATTGTTATGGAAGTTGAAAGTCCATGATTTATAATGCTCAAGGACACTTCTAGACCACAAAGTAATTCTCAAAAAATTTAAGTGGATTCAAACCACCAAAGTATGTTCTTGGATTGCAAGTGAATGGAATTACTATTATTTGTATTTAAATACAAATAAAAGCAAAAGTATCCCCAAATAATTTCCAGTTATATGTTAGCTAAGTACACTTTTAAACAAACCAAATATTAGAGGAGTAATTAAGAAGTAGTTTGACTGGAATGAAACTGAAAATGCAAGATACCAAAATTTGAAAAGTATATCCAAATTTGAAGAACTAGAACACTTTCATTAAAAAGAAGAAAAGTTTGAAATCGATAACCTGATTTTTTTCCTTAACCAACTAGAAAATGAAAAAAAATGAAACCTAAAGTAAAGAAAATGAGAAAGATCAAAGTGGGAAACAATGAAACAGAAAACAGAAAATGATAGAGAAAATCAATAAATTTTTAAAAAACTTGTTTCTGAGAAAATGAATAAAATTGATACTTTTATCACAAAAAAGAGACAAAAAAAGAAGCAGAAACAAAAACAGCAATCTGTACCACGAATGAGAGTAGTGATACTAAAAACTCTACCAATAAAATGCAAATAAAGAAGTGTTAAGAACAAATATATACCAGTAAGCTCAACAACCTTGATGAAAATATACAAAGTTCTTGCTTTGGATGATATTCCATAGAACCTTCTAATGCTATGGAAAAAACCCTGTACCTACTGAGGAAATATAGTTTTCTTTTAAAATTTATCTGGAAAGAAATGGAATGAAAATAATCCCACAAAGAAAATTCTAGGCCCAAATTTTTTCACTGGTGAATGCCACCAAAGATTTAAATAAGAGCTAAGATTCGTTCTCCACAAACCCTTCTAGGAAATTAAAGAAGAACGGATACTTTTTAACTCAATCTGTAAGGCTAGCATTACTCTGACACCAAAATCAAAGGTATTATAAGTAATGAAAACCACACACCAATATTCTTCCTGAGCACACATGCAGTTTCTCAATGAAATTTTAGCAAATTGAAAGGGACAACATAGCTCACATCCAAGTGAGGTTTGTCCTAAAATTAGGGTGGGAAGACGAAGATTTGCATAGCTAGACTGGAATAAGACAGGGCACTGATAGACTGGGATGAATAGGGAAGTGGGGAGAATGAATGCATTGTGAGGATCAAAGCATATGTTACAATCATTAGACTTCGCTGGT